CCAGGCCAGCCGTGACTACTGGGAGATCCTGTCTAAAGAAAAAAAAAATTGTTCAACATTCAGTTTTCTTTCGGCCTATAATTCAGTTCTGTGCTGAGGATTGATTCACACATGCCAGACCCTATCTCAGAACCACAACTCTGCCCACACTGCTTGGGTTTTGTTTGAGTGTGGGTAATACTACCATGCTATAATCCAGTAAGCAGCAAAAAAGTACTGTGACCCACAGCTGTTGAAATCTTACTGACTTCCCTAGAAAGATGACCACACCCACAGAATAGAGGGAGTAGGGGGTGTTGTCCAGATGAATTCAGTGACATGTAATATAAAGAAGAAAAACTATAACCTTTGATCATTTGGTCTCCCTGATGTTTAAATCTGTTAACATGGCAAATATTTATTGTGTAAGCCAAATGTATGATTAGTAGAAGTGTGATATGTCTTGGACTACTTTTATATATATATTTAAATATTGTCTTTGCTATTTTTATTTTATGTGTATGAGTGTATTGCCTGCATGTATGTAAGTGCACCCATGTTGTGCAATGACTGCAGAGGTCAGAGTAGGGCGTCGTATCCCCGGAACTGGAGTACGGATGGTTGTTAGCTACCATGTAGGTGCTGGGAGTTGAACCTGGGTGTTCTGCAAGAGCAGCCAGTGCTTTTAACCCCTGAGCCATGTCTCCAGCCCCTAGAGTGCTATCTTTTTTTCTTTTTTTTTTTTTTTTTTCGGTTTTTTTTGAGACAAGGTCTCCCTGCAACCCCAACTGGCCTGGAACTCACTATGTAGATCAGGCTGGCCTCTATCCTACAAGGATCTGCCTGCCCCTGGCCCTGCCCCTGCCCCTGCCCCTGTCCCTGCCCCTGCCCCTGGCCCTGCCCCTGGCCTGCTGGAATTAAAGGCATGAGGTACCATAACCAAGCTAAGTAAGATTACCCCGTATTCATTCTGCACAATGGGGTGGTCACACATGAACAAAACATCAATATAAAGTATCAACCAGAAGATGTAATTTTTAGAATTTGGTGCCACACTTTATTAAGACCATACATTGGTTCTTCCTCAAAAGAAACAACTAAATATAATTTTTTTTGCTGCATGGCTTCAGCTGTCTGCTTGACACATCTGAAAAGAGGGAACTTCAGTTGGGGAATTTCCTCTATGGAATTGGCCTGTGGCCATGTCTGTGAGGCATTTTCTTGATTTTTGAGTGATGTGGTAGGGCTTAGCCCATGGTGGGTGGTGCCACTCCTGGGCAGGTGATCCTGTTTGTATAAGAACGCAGGCTGGATACATGCCAGAGGAACAGGAGAGTAAGCAGCATTCTTCTATGGTCTGTACTTCAGTTCCTGCCTCCAGGTTCCCTCCCTGAGTTCCTACCTTGGGCTCCCTGATGAATTGTGATCTGGGAGATGTAAGCCAAATAACCCCTTTCCTCCCCAAGTTAGTAGTGGTCAGAGTGTTTTGTCACAGCAATGGAGAAACAAACTAGAACAAGAGATCTAGCTCTAAACTACTAAACAAATAATATTAATTTTATGTCTCTTTCTAGAATTATACCTGATGCTGTGGGATTATTTGCTAATGAGAGAATTAGGCTTTGGAAGACCAGTTGTGTTTAGCTAAATGATGGAGACAGGCTTGTTGGGGTTGGTGAGATGGTGTGTATGAGATTAGAGGAAAAGCAATGTGTATGGTATAGTCATTGGTGAATAATGCCATTTGGCTGAGATTGATGCCTAAATGTTTTGTTTTGTTTTTTCAACATGGTTTCCCTGTAGCTCCAGCTGGCCTGGAACTCACTATGTGGACCAGACTGGCCTTGAACTCACAGAGATCTGCCTGCCTCTGCCTTCCAAGTGCTGGGACAAAAGGCGTGCGCCACCATGCCCGGCACTTAATTAAATTTGAAAATACATTCATTTATTTGTGTGTGTGTGTGTGTGCAGTGTGCATGCATGTGTGCACATGAAGGTCAGAGGACAAGGCTTGTGAGGCCTTGCCTTTACCTGCAGAGCCATCTCACCAGCCTGGCTTACACTCTTGCATACTAATTTCCAAGTACTATATGCTGGTGTATGGCAGATTACTGGGGAAATAGTAATGGAACAAACTACTAATCCATGTGCACTGCAGCGTACGGTGGTGTGAGTGCTAGTATGTGTTCATTGCTGTACTGTGACAGTCTTTTAACCTTTGCCACCGTTTGTGCTTGGATGTCGGGCTGGAGAGATGCTCGGTGGTTAAGAGTACTTGCTGCTCTCTCAGAAGACCTGGGTTTGGTTCCCTGTATCCACATGGCACCTCACAACTATTTCTAACTCCAGTTCCTGTTTCCAGGGGATCCAGTGCTGTCTGCTGGCTCCTTCGGCACCAGGCATGGGCATAGTGCATATACATACATGTAGGCAAAACATCCATACACAAAAAAAAAGTTAGAATCGCATTGTCAGGTGCTTATTGTATGCTACTGCCTGAGGATCGCTTAGCCTAAAGTTCTGTCTTGTCTAGCTTTTTCCAGATGTGATGTTTGTTAGAGTTCAGTGCTGCTTTCTTCTGTGGCCATGTCTTCTCTTGCTTTCTTGGTGATTGTGTATGCTGCATTGAGTTCAGTCATTACCCTAATAACTTCGGATCTTAATCTTCATTCCAGAGCTATGTGTCCGCTTCAGTATTGGCATTTCTGCTTCATGTGTCTTCAGTCGTTCCAGCTCAGGGTCTGGCTTGGCCTGTCCTTGCTTCCTGCAGGGACTCCTCTCAGACTCATCTCTTAGCTGTTCTGATGCGATGTGAGAGATCAGCTACCATCCGCTCTTGCTTCTCTGTTGCCGTATGTCCTGTGTCGCACATAGTAGTTACCATAATGTCTTTCCTGGTAATTGCAGTCACCCCTTGTGTGCTTTGATCCTCTTGGAAGCTGTAGCCAGAGTGGCAGAGCTGATCCTGACATTCTCTTGTTCCTGAGATCCAGTCCAAAGTTCTAAGCAAGATTTAGATGCTCCTTCCTGGAGCTGCAGTCTGCATTTCTTTCAAACACAGCGTGTAGTTGGTTTTTTTTGGTCTTTTTGAGACAGGGTCTCCCTGTAGCCCCAGCTGGCCTGGAACTCCTTTTGTAGACTTCCAGGCTGGCCTCAACCTCAGAGATCCGCCTGCCTCTGTCTCTCAAGTGCTGGGGTTAAAGGTGTGCACCACCATGCCCAGTGGTACAGCCTGTAGTCTTTTAAGTTAGCAAACTTTTTTCAAAGTTTTCTCTACCTTAGTCTGCCTTACTCTGTTTTTATTTTTGAGACAAGGTCTCATGTATTTTAGGCTGGCCCCACACTTGCTTTGTAGCCAAGAATGACCTGGATTTTCTTACTCTCCTGCCTTTCCCTCCTAAGTGCTGCTGGGATTACAGACATGCACTGCCATGCCTGGTTATGTAGGGCTCAGGATCAGACCCAAGGCTTCATGCATGCTAGGCAAGCACTCTGCCAAATGAGCCTACCCCTCCAGCCTCTACCTTAGGCATTTATATATGTTCCTTTTCCTAGAATTTAATAAAATCTGAGTTGACTTCTTACTATGTGGTAGATGCTGAGAACACAGCAACAAAGAAGACAGTGTTCTGTTTGATGGATCTTCTATTTCAGAAGATACTAAAGATGATAGATGGACTGATATGGGGATGTGTGCTGTAATGGCAGATAGCAAATGATCTAAAGAAACCCAAAGTAGGGAAAGAATTAGCACGTGTGGTGGTGCAGAATTATATGAAGAGATAAAGAAGTGTTTGGAGGAGGTAGCTTTTGGACAAGTACTGAGAGGGAAGTGAGTCGTCCAGGAGGAAGGGATTCTAGGAGAGAGAATGCTTGGCAGAAGCAAGTGATGTGAAGATCAGCAAGATTTGGAGGAAAGCATAAGCAAGGTGGAGAGTCTGCCAGGAAATAGCCTGTGGCCAGGCCAACAGTTTGTCTTCACTCTAGGTGTGGTTGGTAGTCCTTGGAGGATCGAGAACAACTTGATCTGATTGAACATTGATTAGGTGCTTTTTTTTTTTTTTTTTTGTTTTTTTTGAGACAGGGTCTCTCTGTAGCCCCAGCTGTCCTGGAACTCACTATGTAGACCAGGCTGGCCTTGAACTCACAGAGTTCCACCTGCCTCTGCCTTCCCAGTGCTGGGATTAAAGGTGTGCGCCACCACACCTGGCGATTAGGTACTTTTTAAAGTGAAAGAGTAGAGGCTGGGAGATGACAGTGCTAACTAACATCATAACGCTGGCAAAGGGTATCTAGAGGCTCAGGACACAGAGGTGGTGCTTGAAGGAGGTAGGCAGTGGTTGGAAGTCATCTGTGTCCCATTTCCCTGAAGAGCCAACCTTAGATTGCATCACTTCCTCAACAGCCTTCCTGGTCTTTGTTTAACTGGGCTAAATCTCTCAAGGTACTTGTTTGAGCATTTTGCTGTCTTTTCATAGCACTAAAGCAAGAGCTGCTATAAAGCTCTACTTAAATAATCTCTGTGCCAAGATGACTCAACCAATAGACATTTATTCAATAAATTAAAGTCATGTGTAGAATTCTTTAGCCTGTATTAGGTTGGGAGCATAGTCTTTGTAAACCCCTCTGATCCTAAAACTTAGAATTAAAATACATTATTTAAGCTGGGCATGGTGGTGCATGCCTTTAATCCCAGCACTTGGGAAGCAGAGGCAGACAGATCTCTGTGAGACTGAGGCCAGCCTGGTCTCCATAATGAATTCCAGGTCAGCTGTGGCTACAGGGAGACCCTGTCTCAAAAATTAAATAAGTAAATAATAAATAAATAAATAAATAAATGAATGTTATTTGATACTGTGTTGATAAGTTCTTGAGGGAATCGAGGGTTGTCTCTTGATTATATCGTCCCTGAGCTGGCCAGTGCTGCTCAGTTAACATCTGGATGACTTCGTATGAGGACAAGTATTTGATTTGTATTTCACTGTTACTATTAATATTTTATCCCCCCCCTTTTTTTTTAATTTAGTGAAACGGATGAAAGTTGTAAGAAGCACCTGGGAAGAGTGTTATCTATTTGGGAAGAAAGATCTGTTTATGAAAATGATGTATTAGAACAACTTAAGCAAGCTCTGTGTAAGTATATAATTTTGATATTTCTGTGATCTTTTCATTAAAGTATTCTTTTTAAAAATATTTTTGATTTATTTTTATTTTATGTATATGAGTGTTTTGCCTGCATGCATGTAAGTGCACCATGTTGTGCAGTGCCTGTCGAGACCAGAAGAGGGCATCATATCTTCTGGAACTGGAGTTATAGATGGTTGCTAGCCACATGTGGGTGCAGGGAACTGAACCCTAGACCTCTACAAGAGCAGGCCAGTGCTCTTAACTACTGAGCCATCTTCAGCCCCTCACTAAAATATATCCTTTCATTAAAACTTAATGTTCTTTCAAATCAGATGGTGATAAGAAAACGAGGAAGCGGACTTATGAACAAATAAAGGTGGATGAGAATGAAAACTGCTCCTCCCTGGGCTCCCCAAGTGAGCCACCACAGGTAACAGACACTGTTAAGAAAGTCTGTTATTTTTACTCTGGTATGCCGAGCTTTGTCGGTTTCAGATGCTAAATGAACATTTCTTTGCTGGTTAGCATTACTTATGTTTGAAGTAGTGTACTATATACTATGGATTTCTTTTTAAAAAATTTTACTTATTTTGTTGGGTGTGGTGGTGCATGCCTTTAGTCCCAGCACTCAGTGGGCAGAGGCAGGCGGAGTTCGAGGCCAGTCTGGTCTCCATAGGGAATCCAGGCCAGCTACAGGCTAAAGGGAGATCCTGTTTCAAAAACACCAAAAAAAAATTTTTTATTTTTATTTTTTGTGTATGACTATATTGTTTGCATGTATGTAAGTGCACCCAAGTCATGCAGTGCCCGCAGAGGACAGACAGGGCATTGAATTCCCTGGAACTGGAGTTAGTGGACAGATGTTAGCTCCATGTGGGTGCTGGGATTTGAACCAGGGACTTCTGCAAGAATAGCCAGTGCTCTTAACTGCTAAGCCATCTCTCTAGCCCCAGGATTTCTTTTTTGGGTTTTTTTTTTTTTTTTTTTTTTTTTTTTGAGACAGGGTCTCCCTGTAGCTCTAGCTGGCCTGGAACTTGCTATGTAGACCAGGCTAGCCTCAAACTCAAAGAGATCCACCTGCCTCTGCCTTCCAAGTACTGGGATTAAAGGTGTGCACTACCATGCCAGGCTTAAGATTTCTTTTCTTTCTTTCTTTCTTTTCTTTTTTTTTTTAATTTGTATTATTTTTATTTTTATTTTGTGTGTATGAGTGTATTGCCTGCCTGTGTGTAAGTGCACCCGTGTCATTCAGTGCCCACAGAGGTCAGAAGAGGGTGTCAGATCCCATGGAACTGGAGTTTAGGATAGTTGTTAGCCTCCATGTGGGTGCTAGGAATCGAACCTGGGTCCTCTGTAAGAGTAGTCCGTGCTCTTAACTGCTGAGCCATCTCTCTAGCTCCTCTTTTTTTTTTTTTTTTTTTTTTTTTTTAAGGATTTCTAATGGCTGAGTATGATTAATTAGCCACTATTTAAAGAGTTTATTTTGTGTGTAAGAGTGTTGTGCCTGTATATATGTAAGTGCACCATGTGTGTGCAGTGCCCACAGAAGACAGAAGAGACTGTCAGATCTTCTGGAACTGAAGTTACGAACTAAACTCCGTAGGAGCAACCAGTGCTTTTAACCACTGAACTCTCTCCAGCCCCTAAAAAATTATTTTTATGATTTAAACTACACTCAGTGTTTAACATACCATATATATATATATTTTACCAAATATATAAAAGAAAAGGATTATTTGAAGAAGTTTTATATTGAAAACTTGCTAGTAAATAATTCATAAGGATTAGGAATAGAAAGACATGTCAAGTCTAATGTATTTATTAGAGATTTATTTATTTTGTTTTTAAAGTTATGTAATTTTTTTTAGACTCTAGATCTCATTAGAGCATTACAGGATTTAGAGAATGCAGCCTCAGGTGATGCCGCAGTTCATCAGAGGATAGCTTCTTTGCCTGTGGAAGTCCAGGAAGTCTCCTTGCTTGATAAAATAACAGGTAAGAAAAGAGCATGCACAGTATCCAGACCTTTGTCAGGAGGCAGAGTGTGGGGACCGCGTGTGCCATGGCTGTGTGATGGTTTTACTGTCCTGTGCTTTTCTCAGATAAAGAATCTGGAGAGAGGCTCTCTCAAATGGTGGAGGATGCTTGCATGTTGCTGGCGGACTGCAATGGCAGACTGGCGGCCGAGATAGATGATAGAAAGCAGCTCACGAGAATGTTAGCAGATTTTCTTCGTTGTCAAAAGGAAGCCCTTGCAGAGAAAGAGCACAAATTGGAAGTGCGTAACTTTTTCCTTTTTTAGTGCATATTTACTTAGTTTACTTTTGAGTAGGAATTTTAATCTTAGTGTATCTGCATATCTTAGAATCTTTGCACAATGGACCCTTTAGGCAGTGGCAGGTAAGCTTCCGTGTAATAGAAATGTAAACCTTTCAAGCACAAAAACGATAGAAGGTAACAGAATGAAGGCTGGTGTTAGCTGTAATAAATTGTGGTTGGGTCTGTTCAATTCCTATTCTGAGCATATAAAGTCTTGTAGATCTGTCATTTAAATATTTAATCAATCCCTCATTCTACCACTTACCACACTCCCCTACACCCACTCTCTGGGCTTATACATACTGACAGGGAGAAAGTTATTTTTGGATTAAGTAATAGTTATTACTGTCTGTGAGAAGTCCCAGGGCACAGGAGGTAATAAAGAAGCAGACTCATTTCCTTTGAGTGGACTAGCCAGTGTCAGGGTGGGGGAGCTGAGTTTGGTTTTATTTAAAAGACTGTCCAGTCAACTAGTTTTATTTAAATTGTTTACTGCTGCACCAGTTCTTAACTCTAATAGTATGTGAAAGAGTTTCTAATTTGAGGCCTTTATTTACAGACCGTTCACCATAAATTTGTAGGTGTATCACGGTACTGCCTCTGCTAAGCTGCTTTTATTTTTTATTGCTTGGTTCTTGGCTCAGCAGTCTCTTCCTTTGGCCTTAGACAGGGCTTGGACTGGCTCAGCACTGCAGTTCGAGAGCGCTCCCTGATCGCTCCGCCCAGAATGCTCAGCTCTCCAGTTTGCACTGTCCTTTTTCAGTTACTCCCCTTCTGCTCAAATATATAAGTTCAGCTTATTGGCATTATGCTCTCTCCTGAAGAGGTTGCCCACTGGGTATGGGACAGATAAGATGGGTGTCTTAGAACATGCATTAGTCACCTTATCAGCTTTCGATGCTGTGTGAACTTCAGTCTTACTGTGTCATTACTTGTCACTGTCTGCAGCTGGAAGGGTAAGTATGTGAACAGTTTTTGTCTTCAGTCTCTTGGATGGTTTCTTTAACTTCTGTCGAGCTTCTGTTGCAGATATTGGACATGGGCGTATCTTCTAACGATGTCATCACCATTAGCATATTCTTCCAGCTAAAAATAAATATCAAACTCCAAAGCCTGTATTGTCTCATGTTTTTGAAAACTGAAGCTTTCTTACTATTCTACTTATACTGCTTCCTCACTTTTGATGTTGGCCATCTATCCTTGGTTTTAAAAATAGAATTTATGTTTGACATGTAAATGTAGAAAATAGCACAGCACCCCCCGCCATGTTCTCATTCCCTAGTGAATCCAGCCAGATCCCATAGTTAGTAGTCAGACACAGTGAAGCTGATGATGACAGTGCTACCTGCATTTTCCCATGTCTCAGGTTCTGTTCTAGGCACCTCACAGAATCACCCCATTTAATCCTGTTGGACTGGGTGCATTATTATCCACACTTTGTAGACATGGAAGGAAGGCATAGGGAGAAAAAGTAAAAGTAACGCTCCCAGTTTCATCCCCAACCCAGGGAGTCTGCCTCCAGGTTCAGTGCATTTTCTCCATAAGTCATACTGGATTAAGAAGTGTAAAACTGCAGCAAAATCCAAAGCTGTTTCTTCAACTCCTTATAATCCTTCCATCTCCACCTAAATCATGGGCTTGAAATAAAGTCTTTCAGGAACTTTGACTGTTGTTCAGCATGACTGGATATTTTTATATTATAATGAAACCACCTTGATTATGGTCAACTTTTTTTTTTGTCTTTTTGAGACAGGGTCTCCCTGTAGCCCCAGCTGGCCTGGAACTCACTTTGTAGACCAGGGTGGCCTCACACAGAGATCTGCGTGTCTCTGCCTCCTGAGTGCTGGGATTACAGGCGTGGACCACCACCACCGGTTTACGGTCAACTTTTTAAAAGAAATAAGTGTCTGCATAAACTAGGAAGTTACCCAGCAATTAACACTATAATTACCATTTAGAACTAAGTAGCTCTTTTGTCATGTGACAAGGACTGGAGCTATTTGGACATTTTTTGTATTAAGTGGGTGGCATCAATCTAAAGAGACTGAGGGGTGAAGATTTCATGTTTCCAGGCCAGCTCTGTTGTCTCAGTTCACAGTCCTGGTGAGTCCTGGAAGTTAAACTGATTGGTATTGATTGGTGTGCCATTGGTTTGCTCTGTCTGAAATGAGATCCAGTACCAATTGAGGAAGTGACTATTTACTATCTGAAGCCACTAGTAAAACATTTGAAATGAGTGAAAATAAGAGTGTATAACATTTTGGAATCCCATTTGAAACTTTTGATTGACCTTGATTAGTGAACAGATAATGGGCCGTTCAGCCAGGTGTGGTTGCACAGTGACCCCAGTACTTGGGATGCTGAGGCAGGGAGATTGTGAGGTTGAGGCCAGCCTGGGTTACATAGCGAGACTCAGAAAACAAGCTAGGCTATTCAGTGTGTGTGTGTGTGTAGATAGCTCAGCCCGTAAATAGAGTACTTTGTGGGTCGCTGTAGGAGTCATTTCAGAAGTTTCAACCATTGTATAAACTATTACTCATTAAACTTATTTGTGGAACATGTTCACAAATTAAAATGGCTATAAAAATTTTATTTTTGAGTCGGGGTCTCCCTGTAACCACAGCTGGCCTGGAATTCACTGTGTAGACCAGGCTGGCCTTGATCTCACAAGATCTGCCTGACTCTGTCTCTGAAGTGCTGGGATTAAGGTTTGCACCACCATGCACCTTTTATGAGGTAAGATCACATTTCTCAGGCTGAGCTCAATTGGTATGACTGAGGATGACCTTGATTCTTTTTTTTTTTTTAGACGGGGTCTCCCTGTAGCCCCAACTGGCCTGGAATTCTCAGAGATCTGCCTGCTTCTGCCTCCCAAGTTGTAGGATTAAAGTTAAGCGTGTGCCACCACAATGTGTTTCCATGGCTTCATAAAGCAACTGGACCTTTTGCCCCTCTTGCCTTCACCTATGTGCTGGGATTATAGGCGTTTGTGCTAGGAATCAAGCCCAGGGCCTTATGCTCAGCAAACACTATAAATGGAGCTCCAAGTCTATCCCAAAATGACTTTTGGAGACAGGGTCTTGCTTTTTGGTATGGAACCTGTGAACTTCCTGCCTTGGCCTCCCGAGTGCTGTGATTACAGGTGTCTGCCACCACAGCTTGCCTTAAGCAACATTTTTGTATGCTGCTTTGCATCTTTCCTTTGGTTGTTTTTTTTTTTTCTGAGAGAGTCTCCCTGTAGCCCCAGTTGACCTGAACGTGCTTTGTGGACCAGGCTAGCCTTGATTACCCAGACATCCACCTGCCTTTGCCTCCCAAGTGCTGGGATTAAAGCCATGTGCCACAATATTCAGCTGTTCTGATACTTTTGGAGAGGGGAACAATGTAAAAATGAGAAATTTTTCTGTGTCAGCAAGAAGCAAGATAAGGTGCCTTTATTGCTCAGTTTTCATGATGTAAGGTGTAAGAAAGTGTTCTGTTCTTGCACATCTGTTTTAATTTGCTAATATAGAAAGAATACTTTATAAAATAGATCTTTGAAGAAGAGTCAATTCAAGCCTAGAAGTCCTGAGAAAGCTAGCTTCTGAGAGAGGGTGAGTGCTATCAGCAGCCTGTGTCTTTATATCCAGATTTACCTCATTAAAACTGAACAATGAATGTAGTATTTATTGTGTGAGGGTTGGTTGTTAAAACTTCTGGGGTGGGGCAAAGGCTCTGTGCATGAAGTGCTTGTTGTGTAAATATGAAGAGATCCTTGCACCCATCTTAAAAAGCTGAGTATCCTGTGTGCCTGTAATCCCAGTGCTGGGGGAAGTGGATCTTTGGGGCTCACTGAGTTTCCAGGGTCCTTAAGAGACTTTGACTCAAAGTAGAGAGTGATTGAGGGAAATGTCTCCTGTGGATCTCTGGTTTTCATAGGTGTGTGCGTGTGCATACACACGCACACAGCCCTTATCCCTCTTTAGGTGCCTTGTTGCCTCCATTAAGTTGTTGAATTTACTATATTGTGTATTGTAGATAGAGGTACAGATTTGAATAGTTGTGCAAGTCTCTTGGAGGATTGGTTCTCAATAGCATCGAGTGCTGGAGTTCATACTGAGGGTCTCATCGTGTTAAGTGTGTGCTCTACCACTAAGTGACATTTGCAGGCCAGGTTCTTTGAACTGCAGAAGGAGAGCATCTTTTTAAATATCTTTTTAATTTTTATTTTTATATGTATGAGCATATTGCTTGCATGTAGGTAGGTGCACCTGTGTCATGAAATGCCCTCGGAGGTCAGAAGAAGGCGTCGAATCTCCTGGAACTGGAGATATGGATGGTTGTTAGCCCCAGGTACTGGGAATTGAACCTCAGTCCTCTGCAAGAGCAACAGTGCTCTTAACTGCTGAACCACCTCTCCAGTTCCTAAGAGCATCTTTTTGTATCTAACTTTACCCGCACTAAGTATTGCTAATCTTTTCAGTGTTTACATAATCTGATAGGTTGGGAGTGGTGTTTTTTGGGTTTTTTAAAATGTGTATGAGTGTATTGTCTGCATGTGTGTGTTAAGTGCACCGGTGTCATGCAGTGCCCGCAGAGGTCAGAAGACAGCATCAGATCCCCTGGAACTGGAGTTACAGATGGTTGTTAGCTGCCATGTCGGTGCTCTTAACTGCTGAGCCATCTCTCCAGTTCCCAGGTTAGGAGTGATTTTGTTCCCCCTGGTCAGTTACCGTTTCATTTCTCTTATGATGCCCTGTACCCATTGACCACCTTCTGTTAGGTTCTTATTACTGGGGTTTCTTACACATGCTTAAAATGGCCTCAGTTTATAACTAAAGCTACTCCACTGTTTTTCTGTTTCCTGATAATTTTAATGGAATTTTTGTTTAGTGTATAATAAAGAGATATGCAAATTGAAAGTGTTTATTATCCCTTAATTTATTAATTAGTGATTAGGCCAGGTGTAGTGGCTCATCC